GCGGAGGTAGCCCGCGGGTGGCGGCAGCCCACGTGCGAGGGGCGCTCGGGGCGGCACCGCGTCCTCCCCTCCGTGCCCGCCCCCAGCGCCGTCAGCCGCGCCTCCGCCCCGGGTTATCTCCGCACCTGGGCCGCGCCCGTCGTCGTCGTTCGCCGCAGGGAGGATAGCGGCACAGCCGGCGGCGGAGGGGCTGTGTGCCTGCGCTGCAGCACCGGCAGACGACGGCGAAGAGATGAACGGCAGGAAGGTGGCTCTCATCACCGGCATCACCGGGCAGGTAACGGTGGGGGCTCCCCTCGTTCCCGGGCTTTCCCCGCGGCCGCGACGGAGGGCTTGGCGTGGGGCTGCCGGCCGCGTTCGCCTTCGCAGGCAGCGGCCACCCTCCCCTCGTCCCTCTGTCCGTCCATCCCTCCCTCCCGGGCCGCCGGGTGCGCGTCCCCCCGGCTCCGTTCCCAGCCCCTGAAGCCGGTTGTGGGGGGGCGGCTGTCCCCGTGCCCCTCACCGATCGTGCCGCCAGCTCTGCGGCTCCCTCGGACAGCCCCGGCCGGCTCAGGGACGGACAGACCGCCCCGGGGTAGAAGGCTGCTCTGGCCTCACCCACGTGTGGCTAGGGCTCGTTTGCCTGGGGCTTTGGAGTGGTTTTCACCAGGTGTGTATGGGGGGGGGGGGGCATCACCTTTATATCTCGGCTTTGGACTGTCTTACAGTAAACTGTACCAGGAATTTTAAGAAATCGGCTAAACCTGTGCTGAGGTGAGGTGTGAAGTGAGCAGCAGTGAGAAAAGAGCCACACGGAGGAAAGACAGTACCAGGAGCCAGTGTTGGGACTCTTCATCCTGGTGGTCTGAAGTGGTGCAGGTAGCAGTGCAGTGGTACCGGTGCAGGTGTCGGGCAGCCTGCAGTCAAGTTTGATCTGAGCAGCCTTGTCACTCAGAGGGGCTCTCTGTCACCTGTCCCTTTGATGTACTGGGCAGCCATGCATTTACAGTCAGTACCTGCTTTATACCCAGACCTGAATGGATGACAAAAGCATCTCCCTAGGCCGCTTGTTTTGTATCCATGTGCGTTCATTGCAGCGTCCAATTTTTTTGGCTGTATTACTCGTAGGGATAATGATGCTCTCAGAGTCCTGGTGCTTTGAGCAGAGGGTGCAGGAGAAAGGGGACATGGAAAGAAAAAACACAGTTTCCCTTGGAGCAACTTCTGCACTGTGGAAAAAAAAAAAAAAAAAGACGTGCCGGTGGTGAGTTTTAACCTGGTGAGACCTGCAGGAGTGTTGATATATGCAGTTTGTAGCTTTTGCTGCTACAGTCCCAACAGGCAGCTTGGATATTTGGGTTGGATTGTTTGTCCACACAGAGGTCTGCATTGTTGTGTCTTTGCTGGCAAGTGGGTGCTAAATGAAAGCTGTTCTGGACATGCTTAGTCATATTTGAGGAACACCTTAATTTGCAATGTATGTGTTGCCCACTGCCTGGAAAAAACTGTGCTGCTTGCACATTACTTATCGCTTGGAATGTGCTGAATGATTTCTGCTCTGAGGCTGTATCTTCTGTGATTGGTATAACCTGTTAAGTAGGTAATGTTATATAGTAAGCATTAACGCTCATCTTAGAATCCCAGTGGAACAGCTTTTTTCCTTTATGGCTTGCATTTAATCAGCAACAGCTGTGTACATGGAAGAACTTCTTCCCCTTCAACTGTGACTTGTCATGGTATGCTTGCAGATCCACTTGTGAGGTGCTGGTGTGGATTGTTTAGGAGGCCATGAGCATTGTGGAAAAGTCAAAACAAACATGTTGCTCTTTCACTCTGAGACAATGTTAGTCAGTGCTTTTTTTTTTTATAATAGAGCAGCCACCTGACCCTTTGTGAGGGAGTAAATCCAGAGACAATGTAGTATTGTAGCAGCTTTCATCTGTTATCTAAGATAACCTGCACTATGCTTTGAATGTTCACCTGCTGTTCATGTTTTACCTCATTATGTCTGTTCTCATGTGTTCTTATAACACTTCTTGGTGCGTGCTCTTCCCATGGGTTAGCAGCTGTCTGCCAACACTGGGCTGAGGAAACCCCTGCAAGTGGCTGTTTGACAAGGACATATATAAGTATGTCTGAGAAGAGGAAAAACTAATAATCTCTGTGTACTAACATTTTTGCTTGATGTTTATTTTTAGCAAAAGCACAGTCAGAGCTTTCCCAAGGACTACTTTGGTGCTGTGTGAACAGTCTTCCAGTTTGTTGACAGAAGTACGTTTGCTTCATCAAAGATAGTAAGTTAGAGGCCTGTAGCTACAATGCCCTGATTCTTTCAGTACTGTGCGCTCTGTTGTCTCTTCTCTATTTTCAAAGCAGCTCTTCCATCTTAATTTAACTTTTGTCAGGCCTATTATTTAGCATTGGAACGTGTGGAGAACCAGAGCTTGTAAAGGCCTGGGAAACTTGAAAGTTAGCCAGCGTGGTTGAGTGCTTTAGTGAGAAGGCTATCAACTCTTGGCTTAGGATGGAATTTTTACGTTGAGGGTGGCCTCTTTTGGGATCCTGTAGTCCTCCATCATTTTGAGATATGCTCTTAGGGAATCCTTGTCCCTTTTTTCTTAGATGAACTTTAAAGAAAGTCACCACAGTACTAGTTCCTTACCCTTCTTTCACTCCCTTTCTTTATTTTTACGTAATAGCTTTCATTGTATGTGGAGAGGCCTCACCCAGAAATGGGACACCCGGATTTTGTTTCTTACCTGAGAATAGGCAGACTTGCATGCCCCACCTCCTGGGAGAAAGTCCTAGTGCCGTCTGTTTTTAAACTTAATTACCATGTGTAAAATGTACAAATATGCTGGAGTGGAAGCTAGACCTCAGGCTTTGTCTTTCCCAGATAGTTACTTTAATTACTGGGCTAAAGAGAGTTGGTGTGTTTCACATTGTTCCTTGGAACTGGTGCTCTTTCAAGGTAAGAGATAAAGGCTTGGCTCCCTTCAGACTGAGGAAGTTATAGAACAGAATCAGATGGTAAACTCCCCTTATTTAAACTGTGGCTTTCTGCTACAGCAAATTTCCTTTAAAAGTGAGTTGGCACGGTTGCATTCTATAAGGAACCTGCTTTTGTTTGTGTGTGGCCAGTGTACTCTGAGAACATTTGCTGAACTAAGGCCCTGTAGTGCCTGGTTCCTGGAACAAGGGTAGTTGGGAGATAAGTATTGAGCTAGCTGGGCTATGACAATTTTAGGCAAATATGGAGTTGTGCTTTTGTCTTTAGAGTACTCTTGGGCCAAGCAAGGTGCTGCTTGAACTGTAGCAGCCCTTCCTGAGTTGAGATGACGCTACAGCAAGTGTGCTTAATCATAGTGTTGAAATCAGACAACTCATTTTATTTTTCAGAACTTGTGTAGCTGTGAACATCTGGATTGTCCATCTTTTCCACTGACAAAAGATGGGATTTTTTTTCTGCTATGATGGACAAAGAGTTGAGCTCAGGTAGGGCTGTATTTTGACAACAGGGCAATTGACGTATGATGCAGCTTTTAACTTTTAACCATGGAGATATGGCACAGCTGTAACTTCTGATTCATGGACTTCTAATGGGATTCATAAGACTTTACAGGATTCCAGAATAGGATGGGCTGTCTACACAAGCTCTGCTGTATAGTGAGTGACTGGAGGCTTGTGCTGTGTGCCAGTTTACTACACCACTTAACAAAACCAGCTCACATAGCTTGCTCCTCTTCTAGATACAAGGTGTTCAAAGGACAGGTCTCTGCAAGGGTGTATGTGTTACCGATAAGAAGGTGATTTTGTGACCTTTGGCCAAATAACAGGAGTTTGCAATATGCATAGTGAAACCACAAAGGAAAACAATTTTCGTAATTGTATGGTCAGGACTCAAAACGGCATTCTGGGTGCAAGGTCTCTACGAAATCAAAGCAGATAAATGAACCTCTGCAAATTCTGCATTTACCCGTGGTGTTAGGGTGAAATCGGTATCATTTTACTACTTGCATTACTGATAAGAGGCTCTAAGCACATAGCTGGTGGTGTTGTATGCTCTTTTTGCAGTATTGAGATTTCCCTTATCTCCTTTCTCACACCACAGCAGCGGGATGAACCACACTTCACTGTTTTGCTAAAATGACTTCCAGAGCGAGGCAGTTGCTGTGGTTGGATGGATAAAACATTTCTGAAGTGTCACGTAGGTATTGGTCTGCTGGTAGGCTACTTGTGAGTAATGCATAGCACTTTTTTCTTCATTTAAGGAAGAGCGTCTCAATTGAAACAAGCCTGTTGTGTGTATAAAATGAAAATACTTTTTTACAAAACTAGAATGTGACTTTTATTAGAAGAGTGTTTTCACAATGCAAAATAGATGTGCTGGACTCTTCAAACTTTGATACCTTGAAGAATTACTCTGTAAAAATGGGAGTTTTGAATCAAATACCAGTATAACTAACAAATTTAATTCTAGATATGCAGATATGTCTTGTTTCTTATTTGGGGGAATCTGCTAAAGCAGTATTTGTTTGACAGAATTGTTTTCTAGGGACTGTGACTAAATGTCTATTAAAGTTGCATTTAAATACCTTTCTGGAAAGTCTGATTGCACTGCAATTGGTTTGATTGTCTTTCTGTATGTTGGTGCTTGTTGGAGAAATACCAAGAAATACTCTGGCTGAGTAACTACGAGGTTATATGTTGATGTTTCTACTTTTCCCCCTCAGTCACTGGATTATGAGCATGAATAATGTCTATCTTGTGTCTGGTGCTGTTGTGCTTTACTTGGAGAGACAGTAAGGTAGGAGTTCGTAGACCAAGATCATTCAACAAACACTTATAAAGCTCAGTTTTGAATGAAGCAATGCACTAAACTTGAGTGTCAGCATGTGGCCAGAGGCTATTGCAAATTGTAGATGAAGAAAGCAGTTGTGTTTCTGCCTTGTGAGAGCTCTTACAGTAGCAGTACTAGCCCCAGCTTCTGCTGCCTTGCCTGCAGTTCTGCCAAATTCAGCTTCCATTTGGCAAAACGTAAGGTAGCAGCCTCAGAAGTTTCAACCAAACCCTAAGATAGTGTAAATATGACTGACAAGTGTGCACGCAGAAATGCAAGAACATTCTCTTTAGTTGGTTGACATAGGTAGAATATGGGGTCTGCCTCTGTCTTTCTGGTATCAGAAGTTCAATCAGTTGCTTAACAGCCTTTACTCTTTCTGTAATGCACCAAAAGCCTATACATGTGAACTGCAAGTTTTATGCAGGTGTTACAGTTCAGAGTTTGAGAGGCTAATT